ACGAAATGAAAACTGTATACAGATTTATGCACTCTGGGACGTATTTTAAAAAAGTATTGTTTACAGGCGCCTTAAATGCAGTATTCATGTGGATGAAACATCAATACGATAAGAACTTTTGCATTTACTCCTGAATTAGTTTCTGTGTGGATGGGGCCTTTAGCGCCAAAGCAACAAGTTATCTCCTGCCCAAATAGCCCCAAGTTGGGATTGTTCAATACTATGTTCAATACGATAAGAACTTTTGCATTTACTGCTGAATTAGTTTCTGTGTGGATGGGGCCTTTAGCGCCAAAGCAACAAGTTATCTCCTGCCCAAATAGCCCCAAGTTGGGAGTGTTCAATACTATGTTGAAATGGCCCAAGGTATGAGCTCAGTACAAATAAAAAATACAGCAAAAAACATCCTAATAAGAAGAACCAGAAAAGCAGAAAAGCACCAGAAATGTTCAGTTAGGGCCGTTGCTATGGTAATGGTCACAGCTAATATCCTCTACGATGTAAACAAGCACAAATAAAGAGTTCATCTTGAAGTTTAGGGCTGTTGAAAATACACGTTAAGTTGTTTGTAGGCTGAGTCTTCTTTACTCAACCAATGCCTGAGGAAAAACAGCACATTAGAGCAAAAGAAAGAATACCTATTCATGTGAAGGTAGAGGTATTTTCTTTGCGGTGTGTGCAGGACCGTTTTTTTAAATAATCCTATATGGGCAGGTTTAAATCTTAAATTTATAAACGGCTGTTTTCCCTCCAGGTATTTTCATTCTCAATTAACCCACAAAGATTGGTGTCAAGGGGAGGTGGTTGACTCCTGGACCCCAGACAGGTTGGAAAATGTGGGGACTGTTGGAGAAAAGACCAGACGTCTGGGTGTCACCGCAGCAGACATTTTTAACACCGCTGATGCTCACTGAGTCTGAGACTGAATTTAGTACCAAAAACCAAAACATAAGGAACATATTTTAATGCTATTTTCTGCACAGGACTGCTGCTATACATCCATTAAATTGCCCCTGAGCTGAGGTCTAAAGCACTTCAGGACCACAGGCTCCCTGAGGAAAAACAGCACATTAGGCCTCCAGAAGGAGTTTGCTTCCATTTTCTCCATCGTAAGGCATTGAAAGGGGACTTTGTTTACATTTTATCCACTGGGAAGGCATTCAGGTGGCACTTTGTATTTATAATCCTATATGGGCAGGTTTAAATCTTAAATTTATAAACGGCTGTTTTCCCTCCAGGTATTTTCATTCTCAATTAACCCACAAAGATTGGTGTCAAGGGGAGGTGGTTGACTCCTGGACCCCAGACAGGTTGGAAAATGTGGGGACTGTTGGAGAAAAGACCAGACGTCTGGGTGTGGAGCTGGGAAGTGTGGGTAACTGCAGGGGTGGACTCAGGCTGTTTGAGGGGCGGGGGATAAAAACTCGAGAGGGCACCTGCTTTATGCTAGACTCATATTAAGACACAAATCTTGCGCTGTCAAACAAATATTTCACAGGGTGGCCGGGCCTTAGAGATAGGGTAAGGAGCTCAGACACTCTGGAGGCGCTCAGAGTAGAACTGCTGCTCCTCCACGTCGAGAGGAGTCAGCTGAGGTGGCTCAGGCATCTGGTTAGGATGCCTTGGAAGTGGCTGGGGTGAGGGCCGTCTGGGCTTCCCTCCTGAAGCTGCTGCCCCCACGACCCCGATGAAGTGGAAGAAAACGATGACGACAACGAGTACTAAAAGGGGCCACTAAAAGTCTCGAGACATGATTGCATCAGGAGGTAATCACTCCCCATTTTCCCCTATCTGAGTACACCAATGTGTATATATATGTGCTATCTATGCTGTTTTGTTTCTGTATTTGCAAAGCTTGTGCTTTTTTAACGAGCAAGATGTAATAACAGTTTTTGAGAAACAGAACAGTAACCTTTCCTTTGGAGAAGAAACGTGAAAGTTTTGGTTCCGGTTCCTTCCAAGAGCAGCGATAATGTTTTCACTGAGTTATCGCACTCCGTCAATAATCTCCTTCCAACAATGAACTGTATTTGTACTTCACTTGGACTCCATCCAAAAGACTCCCATGAATATTTCTGCTGAGAAAACAAGCTAAACTGTACAGACATCTGATAACAGATCCTTGGGCATACACGCTAATTTCCACAATCTCATCTACAATCTCTAATCTATGGTTTTCATGTATTAAGGGGCTCTCCCTCTTTGTTTCAGCACACCAGACATGGTTTATAGAGTTACCAAAGAAACAAACATGTTTTTGAACAACAGTCCGACCCCGCTCTGTAACTGTGGAGGTAATTATTGGGGTTTGAATAAAAGCCAGCGCATATTGTAGCATATAACAAACCGGCGAATGTTTGGGGACACGCCTCTTTGATGTAGCATGGATCGGAGGGGGATTGAAGCCTGGCTGGGTTCCCAAAATACGATGTGACCTCTGAAAACAGTCCAGTCAGAGTCTGTGTTCAATCTGCTCTGGGATCAGTTCATTGGTCGTAAGCCTACCTCATGCTGATTGTGGCTACAGACGCCAAAAAGTGAGCTTAGATCACAACAGGGTCTTGCTTGCAACAAGACTGGAGATGTAGTAAGGCATCCACAAGCAAGTTAACTGCGTTTGAGTGGAAGGAAGAAGCTGAATATTGAGTAACATGGAGCTAGAGGAGTGGGTACAGAGAGGAGGGTACAGCTGGGGACGTCAATGAACCAAAACTGGAACTCAGTCGAAATAAATACAAAGACTGAAGCTTCTCTCTGCTGAATCTTGATGTGACATGTGAGATGCCTACTATACCTGCAGATCAACCTCATCCATGCTTATTGATGTTTTTTTATTCAAGGCTGTAGCAAGATCTGGTGTGTGTTGTCAGGTGTCAAGAGTTTGATAAGCAGGTTGATCTACGACTCTACCTTCACCTGTGTTCATAAGGTTTGGGTAGCAACCGATAAGATGAGAGGAAGTTCGATGTAGAGCAGTGACTGAGTTGCTTGGTTACCACTGCTAACCAACCCTTGATGAGTGGAAGTCAATGGATGGGTGGACTGATAAGACCCAACAAACATCGGACGTCAGAGAGACATGCAGATCAAGTCAGTATTGGGTCGGTCTGTCAAAAACCATATCTAGACATCATGTGAACGTCCGATTTGGAGGTCCATAAGATGTCAGAATTAGACGTCTATATGACACCCGAAAAAGACATAAAAAGAACTTTCATTCTGCACCTTCAGGAGACCTGATTTAGACGTCAAAAAATTACGTTAAATACACGTCATTTCGACGTCACATTACACAGTGGGTATTCTTAGACTGCTGTGGCTTGGAGAGGACATCCCTGTGGGTACCTAAAAACAATGTTTTGCTTCAATCAGTGAACAAAACATAGTTCAACTGACAAATAGAAGATGTATGGCTGCAAATTAAGAAGTTTGGCTTAGCAGCATTTCCATTTTGAGTTGATTTTCATACTTTGTCTTACACTGAAAAATCCAGACATATTATTTTGAAACTTTATCTGAAAGTCTGGTGTGCTTACCCCCAGGTGATAATGGAATAAACGAGTAGAGAAAATGATTTATTGATTAGCCTCCTCCAAAGCGGTTTTGTTGTTGGCACAGGACGTACACAAGGGTCTGGAAAATATGGGAACGAGCATGGGAACAATGGTCAACACCAGTTCATGTTACAGCAGAATGAATGATAGCAGTTGAGCACGACATGACATTCTCAAATAAACAGATCTGCATTTTGCAGTTTTCTATCACTGATTGCTAAAACACGATTCAAACAGAGCTGGTTCATTCACACTTTTACGACTGCTTTTCCCAACACAAGATTTCTGATTGGCCTCTCTGAGGGACAATATGTGGACTGACAGACAGGGATGTGATGAATTACTCCTGTGTGTGTGTAATAAACAGGAAAATAATCAGGTTACGATGCTAGTGATGGAAAAGAAAAGCCTATTACAGTTCTTTATCAACAACATCATCTAAAAATTAATCAGACTTTACAGTCTGAAGTTTGGCTTTCTAACAAAGGTAGACGCATTTTTCTAACTGATCCTATCCAGATGCTGAAGAGAGTTTGAAGTAGAAGCAGTGGAGCTGTAGAGTGTTTGCTGTGTCTGAAAAAGCCGACGTGTCAAATGAGTTTGGTGGCTGGCAAATCATTTGATTGAAAACTAGACTTCAAAGTTTAAACCATAAAACTATATATACTCAATTTAATTACAAGCCAGCAACATGTTTGGAAAAATGGGCATGTCCTGCACCACTTCTTCCTTTAATAACACTCAAACAACCACAACGAGACCAGGTTTTGGAGTTTTGAGGTAAAATGTGGTCATTTTATTGTGATGGTGACCAGCCTGGACTGTCAGAAAGTCAGTTTATCAGTAGGACTCTTCTACTACAGAGCCATACTATTGTTATCCCTGTAGAATGTGGTTCATCATTGTCTTTCTAAAATATGAAGCTCTTCCCTAAAAAAGTCATTGTCTGGATGGCAGCAGATGTTGCTCCTAAATCTGTAGATATTCTTCAGCATTAATACAGCCTTCACAGATATGGTAGATCATGTTTTATATGGTCATCTTTACATTTCATGCATTTGCTTTTGGCCACAGTGACAAACAATGTTTTTGAAGGTGATGATCACAACTATCCAGCGTTGGTTTTCATTTCTCCTGATTACCGCCACGTACCGTAGATGATGAAAATCCAAAATTTGTTGCAGTTTTAAGCATCAAAGGCAGTCGCTATTTAAATTAATGAAGGATGAGATTATTTCAACCGAAAGTAAAGGTGTCATCCACAAAATGATGTCGATGTTTCAAGTCAAACCAGAATTATTACAAGAATCCCTCAAAGGTCATGTTGTTGCAAAGCGACTTGTATGGAAACATCTCAAGACAAATGCCAAAACAACAAAAAATAACTAATTGAGAGAAACAGTGCTCGATAATGTAGATATTATAAAGCGTAATTAAGCAGTAGGTGTTTGGTATAAATGCTATAAAGATGAACATACCACCTCTGGTTTTTTGGAGAGCAAAGTGGAAGGAAACCGTCCAGGGTGGCCTTTTTTTCCGTTTGCTCTTAAACGTCTTTTGTTAGAAACGGTGCGTGAAGGCAGTAGAAAACTTCTACTCTTTATAACTTTTGGATCAGAGCTGGAGAACAAACGAGTTTTACTGTTATCGAATAAACAGCAGCCTGGAAGATTCCAAGTGGAAAGATCTCATGCGGTGCAAGAAAAAATAAGTCAGACAATACCCACGTCTTTCAGCGGGTCTGATATGAAAAATTGAAACAGAAACTGCTGAAGCTGAAACAGATGACAGCTTCGGGTTTCTTTTTCCCCTTGAATGCAAATACTTGAATGCTAGAAGACAACACTTGATGGATGCTGCAAATCAAATTTGGTTTCTTGGGGTTTCTGGCAAGCTGAAACACATGTGATGTCTTCGTAACACCCGGAAAGGGCAAAGTGACGTGACCCTCGAAGTGAGAACACAAACTATTGGCACAGATGTAGACTTAGTGTATGTTTCACTTTAAGGGATATCTGCTGAACTTCAGATGCACTTTAGCTCCTGCTACAGGGTACGATCTGGAGAATAAGGCTGGAGGTTACTCTAAATTCCTCCTACCGTCGACCACTGCCAAGAAAGCAGAAAACACATTCATTCATGTATTAGATGAAGTCTTTTCTGTGACTCATACGTACAAATCCATCATGATTTCTTTAGACAATAACCACAATAAGATGTGTCCTTTAGTTAAACTACAACAACTACAACTAAATCATATTTATTTGGCAAATCCCATCCATGTGACCCCTGGGTGTAGGCTCTTTTCAAAGGACCTGGGATTGAACCCAGACTGTCCATCTGACAGACAGCTGACTCTACTACTGACCCACAGTCGTCCCTACAACCCCACTTCTAGGGCCCTATGAAATCCATTTTATTTTTTCCAAATTCTGTTTTAATAAAATGCAAATATTCCTAAATTTATAGCTCTAATACATCATTGCCCAGTATTTCAAGTCAAAACATAATGTTGTATCATAACAATGTACCAATAAGTGCTTTAAGAACAAAGTTTGAATGATTTTTAGATGGTTGAGCGAAAGAAATAACTGAATGTACGATTCAATTGTAACGTGTTTTTCTTTGTTTTTCACATGGGTTTTAGATGATGGGTCTAGATTCGGACCGTCTAAATGAAGCCCAGTTTTCAACGTCTTTTTTGGGCTAAATTACGGCCATGACAGGCCAACGTGATTTAGTCACAACAATATGTCGACAGAATTTGCCGAAAATCGTGTCACCTGATTCTTTAAAGCCATTTGGATATTGTTCGGCTCTGTACTTTGGAGGCAGACAGGTTGTTTGTGAAATGATGCACGGGTGGTGCCACAGATGAGGGTTCCCCGTAAAATTTCCCAAGACAAACATTCCTTCTCCTCGCAATTACAGCATTTCAGTCACACTATGCCGATTTCTGCGAAATTCCACGTTTAACAATGGATTCTGTTTTAATTGGCCAATTCCTAATTCGGTCCACAATTCTATTAACGCAGAAATCAAAGGGCCCTTACATTTCTAAAACATGGGTTCCCATGCATCTCCATCATGTTGGTCTTTGGACTGTGTGCATCCATGAATTCTAGTTTTCCTCTTTGTCTTCAGTCCATTTTACACCATAGAGCTCTAAGTGAGACATTAAAGCCTTTGGCTGCACCAGCAAGTGGATTTAATTTATTGTCGGTTTTGCTGCTTCAATTGGATTTTCGATCATTCAAAAACAAAATAATATCAATTCTCTCGTCTTTTGAGGGACATAAAAACCGTGCCAGCTGTAGTATTTTAGTTTTTTTTAAGTATTGCTTCGTCTGTGTTCAGGCAGCCATGTTTACAGGCTGTTATTTCATGACAAAAGGAAACCTTCTTTGGCACTATGAGCAAATATTGTCCAACCTGCTTTTTCCTACTGAAAACAAAGCAGACTGTGAGCCCAGACGTCCAGCCGTGACTTCCCTCTACAGGAAAATAAAGATTAACTTCTTCTCTCTGCGCCTCTAAATATCTAACAAACCGTGAACGTTGTAAAAAAATCAGGACAGACAAGAGTTTGGAAACTATTAATGGGGGAAAACAGAGAAGCTGACTTCAACACATGCTCTGTTTTTCATTTTTTTTCTACTGTGGAAACCACTAACAACGTGTGAACAATGGGCTTTGTCCTTGGAAGTCTAATAGTGCGAGCCAGATTCTGTTTTTCTAAGTAAGAAGTGCTAAAATAATCTCCAGGAGAAGTCAGATTAGATTCTCTTTTCTGGGATTTTCTGACAGATAGTTATTTTTCCTTTTCGTGGGAATCCCACAAAGACTGTTCACAGCTTCGATAACATTTCCACCAACTTTCCCACTTCACTTTCTACATCCTTTGTCTATTCATCACCAAACCGCATTGGTCAGTAGTTCATAACAGGACAGTGAATGCATCGCGGAAAAGACGGGAAAGTCGTAATGTTGGAAAATATGAGCTATTACTCTGATTTCATGCAGAGGTTTTTAAGTACCGACATCAACGTCTCTGTCCAAAAGTCACTTTAAATGAGGCAGAACATTCATAAAAAGAGAAATACTGGCCATTAGTTTAAGAACGCTACGATTCTCATGTTCTGAGGTTTTATTAATGCTTGCCAATATACACCAATTTATTCTCGAATGTACAAGATCTCCTAGACTATTTTTACTCTCCCTCCATGAGAGAGGAGACCTCCGGACAAACCTAATTGGGCAATTTTTTTGCTCTTTAGGAAACTGTTCACCATCAGCCCCTCTTCTTTTCTCAAAAATTGCTTTATTTTGCATTTATTTTGTTTAGCCGACCCCTGCGGTTGTGAATCAAGGTTCTGTGATCCTCCATTTCTTTCTGAGCTTCCTGCGAAAATACACAGCTCTGAGGCTCTTCCTGTATTTCCCCTTCACTCTGCCGAGGAAAAGTTAAACAAAAAGGAAGAAGCCGGAGTCACCGCAAAGTTGCATTCAGTGAATTTGCTCAAATTGCACGGTGAGACAGGTTTGATGGCTGTGTGGTCCCGCCGAGTGTTTCCTCGCGCCTCTCTACGGCCCTCTGACCAGTGACGTTTGTGTATTCTGGGTCTGCGGCGCGATCCCGAGTCCAGTCAGTGTCAAAGCTCGGCCAGACGGAGCAGACGAAAGCAGCTCAGCTCCTCTGAAGAAAAGCATGACCAAGATCAACAAACGGAGCTAAACGTGCAGAGAGAAGGCAAAATAAGCAGGACAGGGACAGCATTTTGCAGCCTGTGGCAGGGGGGCTGAATCAGCCTTGGAGATAATCCTTGGCAGCCGCCGAGGAAATTGATTGGCTAAGAAAAACAGGTCCCCATCGGGCAAAGTATTTGGGCGATAGTTTATCTAAGATATGGCTATAAGCTCACATTATGATAATTAGATCAGCATGCTTTTGATTATGACTATGAAACGAGACACCCGACATGTTGGCCCCACAGGTCTGTGACACGGGGACCCTGTCTCTTTGGGCATGAGACAACATACACAGGGGCTGGTCTTTGGAGCCACTGGATCTGACTTTGTTGGCGAGGGGACGCCTGCAAATACAAATGTTGAGTCCTTTTTGGGTTAAACCGACTTTTCTCGGGTTGATAGTGAGTTTCTGTAGAACTTCATCTAACAGAGGGGACATTTATGATGATATGGATTTTTCGTTGTTACAGAAACTTCAAACACGGGCTTTAGGTCGACCAAGAGAGCTCATGCAAAGTCGGCAGAAATCGTTTATATCCGCAGAAGACGTCGGATATAAATGATTTCTGCTGACTTTGCAGAGTCAACTGCAGAATTAACGGCGTTCTGAATGAACAGCGCTTTGAAAAGTCCCGCAGCATGTGTTAGACGTCACCATCTACAAATGGACCAATCAGGGGCTGACTTTCCCTGTTGTCCAGGGAACAGCGGAAACACGGTCTCTGATTGGCCCGGTTATTTTCTGATCGCTAATACACGCTCCCAATGGGCCGAAGTCCAGACTGTTGTGGGAAGGAACGGCAAGTGATTCGTGCAACAGGATGGCCCGGCCAGGCTTTTAAACTCACCCCTTCTCTCTCACTCTTTTCCCTTAATTTCTGTCTTTTTCAGGGGGCTCACTGAGCATTCTTTGGTCTAAAAGAGGTCTAATAGACGTCTAGCCTATATGACTGGTCTAAAATCAGGCTCCCGCAGGTCTAAAAATGAAAGTTTTTTAGACGTCTGAATTCAGACCAAGTTTAGACCAAATCTAAATCTGTGCTGCATCTATACTACACTGAATATTCCTCAACAGCTATCATCATTATTTTGGATAAGTTCTTGGAGATCATTTATGCAACTCACAGTTACTTTTTGAAATAAACAGTTTCTAAATAATGGGTTAAAGTGCAACATCTAAATTTTGTCTAAAAATATACAGAATCTAGACGGTTGAAATTAGGTCTAAAATAAAACTAGAAGTCTAATAGCCGTCTATTGTTGAGTGGGGGTGTCTAAGAGGGTCGGTTGTGCCTACAGGAGCTATGGAAGATCCCCTAAACTTCCTCAAACCAACAGCAACACCAAAATTCAGAATAACCTGATTTTATAAAACCACTTCATGACTCACTTGTCACCTGTTGATGGTGTGGCCCTTGCTGGTGAAAATGTAGTTGATTAAAATCTGTTTTCCTAAAATTAAAACCCGAGCTACTCAAAGAAGTACAGAAAATTTAAAGGAAATTTACTTTATTTTTCATTAAGATTATTGCGGCTGAATGTGTACATGAAAAATTAGGAATTGAATCCCTTTAAAATGCAGACCAATTCTTTCTCTGACTTCTTCTTCTTTGTTTAAAAAAATACATCAACCTTCGAATGTATCTTGTTCTCTCTTGGGAGTCCTGCCTCACTGTCTCAAACATCCATCAAATCCATTTTCAGAGCAGTTATCAGCTCAGTGTAACACTCTAAATAATGCCTTCTTGAAATATCTCGCTTTAAATTGAACTTTATAGATATAAAACTCAGACTGTGACTCTCCACAGTGTGTAATTTTGAAGGCATTTTATCCAGAGAGACAAAGATGGACCGGGGTTTGGGAAGCCTTTACGGATGTTACTCTCAGCTCTGTAAATAGTTTATAGCGTGTGCGGTTTGGGGGATCTGTATGGAACAGCGGGCCACCTAGGATAACCTATAGAAAAACAGCAAACATGACGAGAAAAGGGCTACAGAAACCGTGCTTTGTGGTTTAGTAAGACATACAGCAGAGCAGTAGATCATTACAGCGTGTGCTACCATGACGTCTGTCAAAAGCAGCCAAAAAAATGAGCTCATAATACGATTATATTTGTGGTGCTTTTACCGCTGACTCTCTCTCTCTTTGTTCTTTTCTTACACTCTCCGTAAAGCTACAACAAGAGCTTCTCCAGCTCTACAGCAACAGTGACCTTTGACCCCTGCAGGAAGAGGGGCACTGGTGAGCTATGGCCTCAGTAACTCAGTAGGTCTATTTCAGCGCAGTTCAACCCTAAACAAATAACTCGAGGCCTGCACTCTTTGAACCTCACAGCTCCACAGGTTTCCAGGGTTAACTCCGCTCCTGCTTTGGAGAGTGATCTATAGTTTCATGCTTTGTCGTTTTTATCGAGCCCTCTGCCCTCGCGGTCGAGCCGGGTCACCTCAGTCCGCCACTTTAAACCTTCAGTAGTAACACCGGTGTAATTCCCCTCGCTGAAACTTCATGGATACACAAACTTAATAAAAAAAGGATACTCAGATAACTCGTGTAGGAATCAAGACAAAGTGGAGGTCACAGTCATCTGCAGAAATGTCGTCCTCTTATAAGCTGAATGAATGGGAGTCAAAGGGGCAGCTGTGATACGTCCCATAAATGCTGGAAATGTCACCGTCAATCAGCATCAATCAGCAGGACTTCATTTTATGGTGAATAATGATGATTTTGAAGTTTCCTCAGTGTTGCCAATCCAAAGAGCGTCCATATGCTGCATGTGCTGAGCAGTCATTTGTAATCTGCTGAGTTCTGGCAGAGAAGTATCCTCACAAGAGTCATGAATGTGGAGATGACTTGTACCTGCACAGCCTGCTCTGCGGCCCCGCTTTCCTGAGGTCATTTATAATCTTTATTGGCCACTTTAGTTTAAAAATGAAGGCGTCCTTCCAAACACATTTCATCCATTTTTGGGGAAATTATTCCCCAAGTGTGTTGCTAGAAATCTTATGACTGAAAAATTAGAAAATTTGAACTTTGGAGGGACTATGAGCCATGTAAAATATAAGAGAAAGGTTTGGTGCATCTCAAATTGTGCTGCAGAGGAAATAGTGCCCTTGTGTGCTTATGTTTTGACATATACTTGAATGAACCATTATTCATTTATTGGGGGTGGTATAGGCCTCTTTCTATGCAAATGAACTAGTTGCTAAAATCATCTAATTGACTACCACAGACACCAACAGCCTCATTCAGTAAGTATGAAATTTTACTGTCAGAATCAAACTTTTGACGATCAATTGAACGACTCCTCCTCTGGATGACAAAATTCTAGTTTAACTACAAATAAAACAACCAGAATAAGTCTGTTACTATCAAAGTGATAGCTCTGCATAACATGATTCACCATCGGTCTGCATTCTGAGCCCAGGAGGCGACAAACTTTTGTTTTTTTCCCATTTGTGATTTAGTATCTTCTACGTGCATTGTATTATATCACAGGTGCAATTTAACTGATTTAACTGTTAACAAACAAAATCACTCCCTGCAAGTCTGAATATTGCCGATGGCAAAGTCGCTGTGCTTTAAGGATCCTGATGAAGTGTCTCCTACTCAAAACAACACCAAACATGTTTAAGCTATGAAGTATCTCTTTGTGAGTGAAAGTAAATGAAAGAAAATGTTGATAATATGCTCTCCGACCATGACACTCTTCTTCTTCTCTCACAAATGAGGCGGAGGATTATTTACAAAAATAAATACAAATAAAACACATAAACAAGGTACGTATAAAACACACGTTCGAGATACTAAATCTCACGGTCACGTCACCTCCTGGGCTCCATAGATATATGAATTCATAGACACATTCGAGTTTGGGATATGATATTAGGGATATATGAAGTGCCATCAGGATTAGGATGTACCATGCAGCTCTGTACAGCACAGAGTAGAGAGGTCACCGTCAGACCCAAAACCAGAGCAAACTGCACAGAGCTGCAGAATTTAATGAGCATTTTAATTTAATTTTCATCTTGAAAAAGATTCTTCTTTTTTATTTATTCTTGGATGTTTTCAGTCGTCCTGTTAAGTGTTGCTCTTACAGATTTGCACCTGTTGGATTGTATCCCTCACCCCTGCTCGAATTTTCCAGGATATTTCCTGCTGCACTCTCATCTCGTGCCTGACCTTTGCAGAAATTTTACTGAGGGTTAAAAAATTCTGCGCAAAGTCGGAGGGAAAATTTTTGGCTGTTTGCAAAGCATCTCAAAAATGAATCCAGCTTCACAAGCTTTTCCCTTTAATTTGAATGATAGAGTCACATTTTTACGATAAGAGGTAGCTGCTGTAAAACTCCACTCTGTGTTTCGTTTTCGCACAAAAGCCATAAAGGGAGTTTCCATGTCTAAAAATCGGAGCACCTTGCCAAGCCACCAGTACTAATCACCCTGGCAGGTAGCTCAGAGGTAATTTGGTGCTACGCAACATTGAAAATATTTCCCCCTAATATCCAGGGAGGGAGGATAACGTTCACATTGTATCAGTCTAATCAGGTCTTTATCTGTAATCTGAACTAATCTTGCTTGTTTAACAGGAACATCCCTGATTTGTGGGTGAGCAGTGAAATGTGTGAGCGCTCAGTTCATGATAAGCTTTTCCAAACCACAGAGATACACGAGTGTCAGCTAATAAATACAAACAGGGAGGCCCGAGAAGAGAGCGGCCGAGTCCCTGCTTTACTGCTCTCTATCAGCACTTAAATGCAACACTTGGATTGGATTACAGTGCGGCTAATGTCTTTTGGCTCCTTTCGTAGGATGTGATATAAAAATGGGAGTGATTTTGGTGGGAAGGAAAGTTTAGGATTTAATAAATATCCCCCCAAACTTGTGAGCTTATCAAAAATGAGAGCAGCTGTGGTTGGTGGAGAGGAAAGTTTTCGCTTTGGGCCTGTTGATGGTCACTCAATCTTGCCAGCGGTGGTTATGAGGATGAAACGCAGCTGCTGTCTTTACAGTTTCAGACGGTGAGGACTTACAGGATGGACATGAACTGGCTTGTGTGAGGTCCTGAGGGGGTGGGGGAAAGAGACCAAAACCACAGCTGCAGGGCAACAAGCCATACAAGAGCCTCGTTTCTTCACTTCCCCGCTTGCATCTACGCCCGTTTCCTGTCTGAGCGGGGATATTATGCAGCTGATAATGACACGTAAAGTAATAGCTGTACAGATGATGAAAACACTTGACCTACGACCCCAGGAGGATTTACATCCGACCTCGGTAGTGTGGAGAGAGAAATCTGCTGCCGAATCAGTGCCTTCCGTCTCGCTGTGTGGCCTCAGGAAAGCGTGAAAGGAAGTCTGATTTCTGTAGCCTTGATTCAGGATGAGAGAGACGATCTGCGGTCACAACTCAAATCTGTCCCATATGGAGGAGATATGAAGCTCCTGGGACGAGCAGAGAGAGGGGATGTTTTTGTGCAGGAGCGTCTCCGCAGACACGGTCAGGACTGTGGCAGCCCAGGCATGCTACAGATGATGTGACCAAAGTATGATAGACCGTGCCCGGATCACCAAAAGTATGTTTATTCGAGTGTTTTCCACTTTTTTTATGATAACTGTCAGCGTGCCATGTTTCTGTCGAACTACCCTGAAGAGTAAGAGACGGTTTGGTGCACTGACAGTCCTTGTTTGACAGCTCATTGTGCTACTAATGCAGACCACCATCACAATAGAAAGCAGACTGACAGTGTCTGAAAAGCCAAGGGACAGAGTGAGCACAGAAAGAGAGAGAGAGAGAGAGAGAGAGAGAGAGAGAGAGAGAGGGCTGTAACGATCGCTCGAACCAGCGAATGAAATACAACCTTAAAGGCTAAAAGATACAGGATGCGTATTTAGAGCGTGGCAGAAGCGTCGCGTATCACACAGTAAATATGTTCCCATTCTAATCAATGCAGCATCGCATACAGGAAGCGTATCAGCTCCGTTGCAGCATCGTATTGAGAGCAGCACTGCTAAAGATACCTGACAGTCAATTTTTACTGTTTTGCGATTTCAATGCGTGTCAATCAACACAGAGAAGATCATTCTAGACAGGAAGTCAAGCACGAAAACCGCGCATGTCCTCCAGTATTTCAAAATAAAGGTAGTTCAATAATGGCGCCCCAAATACGCATCCTGTATGTGATACCCAGAGCTGCTCTATGGAGCAGATACGGAACGTGCTCAATATGGATCTTGTATGTTTTCAGCTTAAGTCTTGACAGTATACAGGACTGGTATAGAAGCTTAAAACGACTGAATGACTCTTGTGTCGGGTTCAATTGGATATGCTCAAATATACTTTGCTGTTCTTCAACATTACATCACACAGTCGGGGTGAATAAATAACCTGCTGGTCTGGCGTGCTGCTAATATGAGTGTCTGGAGAAATATTAAAAATTGAAATGTTCAAGTATGGTCCGCTTTAAAGCCGAAGATTGGGTATTACATGGGGTATGCTAGCTAGCTTATTCTCAACACGGTTTTTCTTAACTCTGTGCTGGCCGGGAATATCGCAGTGTGTATTTTTGTATCAACACACTCAGACATATGCTGCGTTCCAGTTGTACTCAGAAGTCGGAAGTTCCGAGCTCTTAGTCATCTGGAACACCCTCCTGAAGTTGGATTTCCGACTCGGAAAGTTGGACAATCCTCACCAACCCTGACTTGACGACAACGTCACAATCCAAGATGGCAGCGCAGTGCATCAACAGTAAAGAGTAACAGTTTTAGCTCTCATAATGTATCTTTTATTAGCACGTCTTTTTTGTTATTGTGAAATTAAATAAGTGGTTTATGTTGTACTGCCCAACGTCTAACTGTGAACATGGTGCTACGGTGTTTGTAAGAGTAAAATACTGTGTTATACATTGTTTACAACTGGTATAGCTAACAACAACTAACAACAGATGACAACCGCTAACAACAACTGACAACGGCTAACGGCAGCTGACAATTGTTAACAACAGCTAACAACGGCAAAAGACGGCTAACAGTAGGTGTCCATCTTGGTTTTCTGACGTGTTAACTTGACCGCCGTCAACTCAGGTGTAGTGTCATTCTCAGCTCTGACATCCGACTTCTGAGGTAACCGGAACACAGCAATACTACTTTAATAATGTTTTTGTTACCCTTGAGCTTTTTTAGGGGGGTATATGCTAAGTTATGCTAATTATTTATTTACATACATAAAGGTTCAGATGATTTGCACTTATTCCTGGAAAAAAAGTAGGTCATATTTCCTACTTTCTACATATTTCCTGAAATGCTGACCTACTTTATCAAAAGAGAAGACTTGGCTGAAAATAACTGTATTTCTGTTTTGAGCTGTCTGGTCGTTTCAGGCTGTTATACATGTCAACAATCAGCTTTAACAGATTTTCCACCGGATTCTGTTTCCCCACGCGCCCAAATGTTGTTGTGGTTCCTGCAGCCAGAGGACAACGTCTGGTACCATTTGTTGTAAACAAGGAGAGCTTAGAAAATGAGCAGCAAAACCGTATATGTGAAAACGTCTCTCTGAGTTTTTAAATATGAAATAACAGACGCGAAGATAGAAAGATAGGCGGAGCACTTTAATAATCCTTGAGGGGGATTGGGAAATACCGCTGTATTGGCTTAGCCAGTGGTCTGTAGTATCAATCCCCCAAACAGCAAATCCATCAGCCGACATGTTGAAGTGCAAAGCTTTTAGTGAGACAATGGAGCCCTCCCTGCTGACGTCTGCGCAGGAACACAAGCCAAACGGCTAAAATGTGTTTATAAAATGTAAACCAAGACGGCTGAGAAATGTGTGTACGGTCAAGTTTGGAGGATGACGTTTCTTTCTGGACAGATTTTTGCCCTTTAGATTACGAGAAGCTTCAGAGATGTCCCTCCTGTCTGAAACGCTCTACGGCTGAAGCGACAAGTCCCCGCAGAAACCTGCATCATCTATCTCATCGGTAAAGAAGGTGGGCCGGGATTATCCGTCTCTAATTTAGTGAATCACTTCACACTGAGGGAAAATATTTATTTCAATCCTTCTTCGGCGGGTTTTAGGGTGTGGATGTGTTCAGATTTGTCCAGTAACAGCAGAGCGGGGAGGGAGCGGTTTGTAATGAGAGTGAAATGAGCCGTAATGCATTATCATTGTGAATGACACTGTGTAATTACCTCATTCACACATGGACACCATAACATTGTGAGAAAGACCAGTGACTGTCAGTGGACGTGTGTGTGTGAGGCTGTTTAAATATGACTCACTGCGTTTGAACCTAAACACTCACTAATGAATACTCAAATATATACCGTGTGTGTGTGTGTGTGTGTGTGTGTGTGTGTGTGTGTGTGTGTGTGTGTGTGTGTGTCTACATGCATTTGCAGCTGTGTTTGAGGCACGTCACATTTTTAAATCTGGCTCTTCGACTACGCACAGAGACCCAGGAGAGAATTAATTTACTCATATGATCGTCCAGCAGGGACACTCTCCAGGCCCTGGAGTTGCAGACGCTTCATGAGACAAATTTGGAAGTTTCTTGGGTGACTAAGTGAACAGCAGGAGGTCAGAAATGAGCTGTTGTCGCCGAGTCGTTGACATTTCAAGAGGAGTAAAGGTCAGTGACGCACATGAGAAAGAAGATCTCAGGGACACACTAATTTTGAACTTGTCTCACTTTATATTTTTGTGTTGTCTTTAAATAATCAAGGGTTTAATCAGTAAAGGACCATTCAGTGTACTTACAAATGGCCCAGTGGACTACATCTCCCATCTCGGTTAACGTATGACTGCAGTAGTAGCTTCTTTGGGACTCGTTCATCATCATTACCTGATGTGAAAATGTTCAGGGTGAGTGGTTATTGTTCATTTATTGCTCAAGGAGAGCAGCTTCATATGGATTAAAAAATAATGATAATAAAAATGCCATATAAATGTGCTTAAGCATCATTCTGAGTCATGGTCTATATGCAAGGGACACTACCAATAAGGCAGCAGGTAAAGAGCTCCTTATGGTGAGGCTGATAAAATGAGACGAGATGAGATCAAATAAGACGAGACAAGGTGAGATACGATAAGACGAGATGAGATGAGATCAAATAAGACAAGATGAGATCGGACGAGATGAGATGAGATAAGACGAGGCGAGATGAGATGAGATGAGATAAGGTAAGATGAGAATTTCCTTTAATAGTCCCACGGGGGGAAATGAGCAAATTACAGCAGCATGAATACAGATACAAAAAGAGAAATTAAAAGATAAAGAAACTTGGAGTTAAAAAAGATATGTACTCGTGAATAATATTGAGCTCTTGTTGTTGTTATTGCAAAAAGGAAAGTAAAAAGACTGTCTACGAGTCTCAAAGCTCAAGTCTGAAATCATGTTAGTCTGCAACTCGAGTCCAAGCCTCAAACTTTAGTCCTTATTTTACACACTTTATAAAAAAATCTAGATTTTAACTTTTTTTTTTTCAGAAATCTGATTCAATGAATAAAAAGGAATAAACAACATAATGCTCTGAATTCAGCAGCTCTGGTATTTCCTCCAAAAGTTAGCGAATAAAGCAAAAAGCAGCCACTTTGAGTATTCCGACTTAACAGGTCATAATCATGCATTTACCCAAAAAACCTAAAAACTATAGCACCTTTACTCCACCAAACTTTTATTAAATTCAACTTAAATTTACTGTGTTTTCAGCGAATCCTCCAAGTGTAAAGGATAATGTTGTGTTAGACCACAGGGTGCCTACACTGATCTTTAAAGTAGGGCATATATCAGTCTGTTTGCTTTTGGTTAAAAAATAATACGATTTTCTGTAAAAAGATACTTCAATTGAAGCTCCAAATTAAGGAGGAAACATTTAGAAGTCATCATGAGATATTTCATCCTCCCTCAGAACCTCACATGTCCAATAAAAGGGCAGTTCAAGTCTCATTTCTAGATATTTCTGGTTGTAAGTAAAAAGCCAACACCTAGCCGGAGGCAGAAATCCCCTCTCCTCACAGCATTGGCTGAAGAATGAAGGTGAAACCCCCAAAACTTGGTCCAACTCAGCCTGTACTCACACTCTGACTGAATCCCTTTTGAATATTTAACCCTCAGCACGGGCTGGACGTTACTCTGTAATTACACCCTGAAAAGCACTATACTTTGCACCTTTACTTTGCCATCATGGAGGAAAACTCTGAAGACATGTTGGTAATAATGTTCCTGTGTGATGATGGATGTCTCGCCGAGGTTTGAGCTCTGGCAAAGTGTCTGTTTGAGTTGGAAAGAAGCTCTCGGCATCCCTCCAGGTTTCTCCCTGCGTCCCGTCTGCTCGTTTTTACCTCTTTGTGAGTTCAGCTTTCGTTCTTGCGCTCTGCCTTTGATATTTTTAACCACAGTCGCAGCTCTCGGCTACAACAACAGAACCATGTAAGGCTGAAGTGCTAAAACCTGACAAATAAATCTGGAAGTTAGTGCAGGAACGGAGCGTAAGATTCATTCTCCTTTTGTAAAGCTGTGCACGGTGACCCCGGCTCCTGGTTGGAAGCCACCCAGTCTTATTTGTTTACCTCTCTCTCCTTGAATGCATGATATCCCCTCATGTCTCTGCACTCCTCTGATATCTGGACGGACTTTAGTTTTGTCTGCTGAGGAAAATCACTGCCGCCATTTGTCAAAACATACAAATCTGTTTCCAGTCATCTTTGTATTACCCACAGGTGAACCTGCGCTCACAGCCAACATGAACAAAGGATGTTTCATGTAATCGGGATTGAGAGCACACCTTCTGTTAACATAAATCTGAACTTCTGGGAAGGAAAAAGATCTCCCGAGTTTAACTGATTGTTGTGAGCCGGTTGTGGCTGCAATCACATGAAGCCCCAGAGTTCTCACAACAGTCCAGAGATGCTTGTAAACCATATATTTGACAAGCTGTTCCTGGTATTTCATCAGTTTTAGGGAAGAGTTTAGTGGTGGTTTACCAGCCTACGTACTTTCATCAGGGAAGATGTAAAAGCGGTGGCTTTTGGTTGCCGTCAGGGTCACTTTAGCTTGATCTTTACAAGCTGCATTCAAAGATGGCAACCACTGTTTATGAATCCAGGACTGATGGACACCGTTCAAACAAAGTCAGCCTGGAAGGAACTCAAAGGACCTAAACCTTGATACATTTCCTCGCAGGGTCACTGCTCCATCCAACAGGAACAATAAACGATATTTTGAAAACTCGGCACCAGTTGTGAGCCAAAAAGTTGTTTTTGACTCGATCTGAACTTGTGCTCAGGACACTTCAAAATAACAGCTTTAGTTCAACTTCACAATAAAACTGTTTCAGAATTCATTCAGATTTAGGAAGTTTGTTTATCAAATTAAACTTCCTGTCACCTGCAACAACCAAAGAGCCCATCTGTGTGAAGATAAGCTATGTCTAAATAGTGAAAGTGGGGAAAACGGGAGCCAGTTGTCGGTCAGGACCACCAACAAAACGATTTACAGCACTCAGACCAGAGAGGACATTTTTCCACTTTATTTCGCACTGAAAATACTGACATTACTGTCACTACACAAACGGTGACAACGTCTTGCAGCATGAGACTCTGACTGGCTTCCCACTTTAAACACATTAACAAAGTAAGCTGCCTCAAACTGCTCACAAAAAAGTTTCTGGAGCCCTGATGTGCGAGCCAGAGAAGTGTGTTTACGACAATACGCGCTGCACAAACGCTAAAATCAACAGAAAATGAAAACTCCGTCCAGCTGCTTTAAGGACAAAAATAAAATTTAGTCCTATATTTTAACTGAGTATATTGTGCAAAGACCGTGCATGAAACCGTGAAAATGAAAAATTGAAAAAGTTTGAGGAAAATCTCCAAACAAATGCAATTAATTAAAACAAAGATTTTGGAGAAACCCGTGTACAAAAGAGACGTGATCTTGGGACGTTTAGGCAGCACAAAATTTAAAAAAGACTCTGTAGTGGAAATCACTGCATGCAGATTAAAACAGTACCATAGATACATTAAGGGGGTCTAAAGCTGGAAGGCTGGAAATAGCAAAAGGGGAAAAACTGTCCTATTATTCATTTTTGAAATCATGGCCGTTACTCTGCAGAAGAGAAGCTCCACCCTGCTGGTTATTAGTGCACAGTTCAGAGCTGTTACCTGTGATGTTATCAGATCAGGATGCACATGTGCACACGGCATTAATAGGTGCTACACAATATAGACAGGTTTAAATGCAGCACATGCTTCATAAAAGGAAGACCTTGAAGATGCCAAACTACAGTCTGCACATATTCCAACTGTGTGGCTCTGGAGTAGAAGAGTACAGGTGCTGACTGGTCTGACTGTAGTCTCAGCTTGTCATCCATTCAGATCACTATTTTTATGAATATGAGTAGAAACTTTACATTGTTATTATCGTTTATTATTTTCTATGAAACGAGCACTTGTTACACCTGAAGACCTGAGTGATGTACATCATTCTTTCAGGTTTACTTGGACAGTAAAAGTATCCGTGAGCCTTAAAAACAACAGAGGAGATCCAGGAGCTGCAATCCTATATCATGCAAGAATGGGACAGTAGTTCACTTTCCAAACTCCATAAACTGTCCTCTGAATGTCTACAGAGTGTTTTTACAGAACATGCTGATGCTATGCTTGCAGTTTTGGTTTCAACATTTGATTGTCTTTGCACTGTTTTCTAGACTTTTAAGGATTTGCAAACGGTTAAATTCTGTGTTTATCATCATGTTAAACAGCATTTTTGGGTTTGGGGTTGCACAAGGAAGTACCTGTTTCCATCATGAGGAAGTATAAGGATTTAGAAACCTTCCCACAGTGAAACGCTTCAGCTAAAATCGTTGGTGTCTGCACACATTTTCATGATGCAGACTTTTCACCACATGGAGCCTCCTGTGGATCATCCTCTGCCTCATGCACTTGGTTTTCATCTGCAAACCCCGAGTCAGGAGACAGATCATAACTCATCCAAAACACTGTGCGTGAAAGAAACAGTAGTACAAATAAGATCAGGAGTATTAGACATATCAGATCCACATGTGAAGCAAAGGGATATGCTGTCCTTGGGAGGAAAAAAAAAAAAAAAACAGCTTTCCGGCACTTCTGCGAGCCAAAATGTCCTTTATTTAGCCGCCAGAGCTAATCGCACATTCAGCCAGATTCAGCAGGGTGTGCTCTGGCATTTATTTACAGTGGAGTCCACAGCCAGACCATATCATGCATGATATAGTAATTCAAAGGGTCTGTTTCGTAATGCAGGCGCAGTCCTTCCACCGCCACATTCAGCGCTTCAGTTACTTTGTTACTTGGGTTGGATCTAAACCATGAGGTCAGCGTGAATCAGACATCGACAGCGTCTTCTGACCGTGTGAACCGATCTCGTAAAAGTCACAAGCAGGTGCAAATTTTACCGACACATGAGGGACTCTGCTTTCTTTTTCTCCACCGTGTGACAAATTCAAGCGTTTCATTCGGTCGTCTTGCTAATAAGAAAATATGGTCTGACTGCGCGTGGACAAAAGCTGAAAATCCCCCACTGGGTAATTTTCACCTACATATCAGATCTGGATCAGAGCGCAGATCTCATATTAAGATCTTAGCCTCTGTATAAATCATATTAAAGCAGCAGATGCGTGACGTTTGCTGTGTAAAGACAATGCCAGAGATGATGACAATCGAGTTCCTCAATTAGAAAAACACTGAGGACTTCTGGGACGGTGGCAAATCTGCAAGAATAAGTCCAGAATCCTTGGACCTCCACTGCTAATTCACATGTATGCCTTAAATTTTGGCATTCGTGGGAGGAAAGGAAGTCACAGTGGATTAAAACGCAACTGTATATGCTCAGAGAAGTGGAAAAACAAATTGCTTGATTCACAATGACATGGTTTTCCAGTTGCAGGTAGAATGGGTTCAGATTACAGGAGCTCCAGGCCTCCAAGAACAGAAACACAAGGCCTGGAGCTGCACCAAACTTTGAAGCCTCTGAGCTCCATGTTCTGCAGCATTGGCAAGTTTTGATTCCAGAAAGGAAAGTTTGCCATTACAAGGCAAGTGGGCAATGAAAATTCAATTAGGGTCTCGCACCTTTGAGCTAAACAGCAGCGGAGTGAAACAACCCAGCTCCCCATGCTCGGGGTCTCCTATTACAGCACGCCATCTCTGGTTACCGTATCCAATTATCTGAACACACAGCTCGATTATACATTTCATATGTGGCTCCCCAGAACATGGTTCCATGTAGTTTCATTTGATAGATGCTATGTGGTTTTAGCTAGGACAGATAATAAATAAACCAAACCACCGTTGCGCTTGTTGGCTTGTCAAAGTTGATATATTTCCTATTGTTGAAGGATCTCTTTTTTAAGGAACATTCTCCAGTATATAACCTTTCGTAATAATATGTATAACTTTGTTAGTGGGTTGAAGGACACGGTGAACCTCTCCTTGCTGGCAGAGTTACAGCCCAATTGTTCAGCATAAGTGTGCCTCTAAATTTTCTCTATTAGCTGTCCTGGAAGGGAGCACATGTTGTTCTTACTTGACGTTTCGCTCCATGCCAGAATGTTTTTTTCTGTTTCGACAGTATTTAAACCCGTGTTTTCTTTAGTATTTCTTTAGCGTGTTTCTCCTGCAGCCATACAGCAGTGAAAACAGTCATGAAATGTGCTGTATTTTGGCTCGACTTACAACTTAACAGTATGAAATAAAATTTTATGAAACCACCGGTAGACCGCGGGTCATTTTGCAGGTAAAACACAGAGACTGTCTCAAAAGTACTACCATATTTTCTGGTGTATTATTAGGATATCTCGTGGAATCTATGCCAAGATTAATGGGCATATTTGTCTGAGTAATTATGAGTTTAACAAGATTTCCTCTCAAATGTGAAGCACAGGACCTATTATTAATATTTGTACAGAACAAGAAATACAAACAGATGGATTATTCCTCATAAATAGTTTCCATGGGTGGATAATTTGCTTGTTTTTCTTAAAATCACAGCTGTTTCTCGATGATATTTATAATTTTCCTTCATTTTGAGCTTTCTAAAGTTTTTCTTCCGTCTAAAACGAGGAGTATCAAAAGAGTTTCTCCAGTATTTAGGGCCTGTGTCCACTAATCGCATTTTTTTTGCACTGGCGGTGGCCATTTTATAGAGAGCAAATGCAGATGACAGGTATAGTGCAAAACATCCACCGTATCATTGTTATTCTGTCCCACAGCACTCCTAAGTGAACATAGTTTAACTTTTGGTACACTGCTTGACTCATAGTTGTCACTTCTCGATCACCAGCCAATTAGAATCAAGCAGGGGCGGAGCTTTTGTTATCAACTTGTCACCAGAATAGCAAAAGTCAAAGTGGAGGATAAACTAACCGTATCCCTGTGAATGATAGTGAGATTTCCTAAAGCTGCTATCGTACAGGATGGAAGTTCTATTGATTTTTTTATTTATTTATTTTTATTAATTTATTTATTTTTACAGTTTTTTTTGTAAATTTCCGTTGAATAAAATCAGACAGTGCATTAGAGGTGACTCAAACATCACTAGTAAGGGAAGTGGAAGTATCAGCTTTTATCACCAACAGTTATCTGTAGTGAGTCAAACACTAAAATTGAGCTAGTGGGGAGAAAATGCTGTCAGTGGAAACAGGCCCTTAAAGGCACAGTGGAAAGTATTTAACCAGTTAATAAACAGGCCAAAACTGATGCTGACGCCTCTTAATGACCTTTAAAAAGAAAACAAAACCACCAGCAACAAAGCTGAAAATTGAAGTTGTGATTCTGGATGATGAAACCTCAATGAGGGGGAAGATGTCAGACTGGATGATTGACAACAGACTGAATAAACTGCCTTATTTTACACTATGTCAAAACTCAGTCAGTGATGCATTTCACTTTTAAAGGACCACAGGATGAGGTTTTTGTCTAGAGACTACAGAGGGCACCAGAACTACCACCAAACCAAAACTTCTTCATTAAAGCGCTAAATGTGAATTATTATGACAATCTGACAAAGACATTAAATCAATTAAAACTGAACTAAAGGAACGTTTTATCCTCCCAGATGTGAAACATAGGTCTAAATAAGCTGTTTACATCAGTGGATGAGGTTTTTCAGACAGAAACACGAACAAAAGAGCTGAGAGACGCCAAAGTGATGATTAAGAAAGTCCTCTTCAGTCATCGCAATATTTTTACCTTAAAGCTCCAGTGGGAGGCTTTTAACAGGTTAACTGCTGTCACTTTGTCCACTGGGGGGCACCAAATTCAACACAAACAGAAAATTCCTCAGAGGAGCTTTAATCTTCATGTTCTGCATGATCCACTGCACGTTTACTGTAGACTACATTAACACTATTGGTGTGCAAATGTGACAAAACAAATTCATTTGCTTATATGAGACTCAAGTCACAGGGAATCTGATCTGGAATCAGTTTAGGCCACCTTCAGTGCTCCAAATCATGAACACAACAAAATATTAAATTTATATTATATTATATTATATTTAATATTAAAGTGTTTTCGCCTCTTTTTAATAAAAAAAAAATCAAATTTAGTTTGATTGAAGCAACAGTCACCTGACAAGTCTCGAAAAATGTCTCATTGCACACAAGAACACTTGTTTATGAGGGTAAAAGTCAACAAAGGTTATTGTGAGTTACGGCATATAGGAACAGAGGGCCTATAGTGCATGTATTATTATGATGGTTTAGCTGCAGGTCCATCAGTTGCAGTGAAGATGCGCTGGCAGACAGGTACGCTCCTAACAGCTCCATCATGAATTCCCAGAAATAAGTTAGAAGTTATAAAAAAGGAGCAAAAAGTAGCAAAACAAACTTTTCTTAAAAAGAAAAAAGTGATGTTCTCAGAACCAGATCAGGACAGTGAATCCGACTCTGTCATTGAGGAGTTTGATGTGAAATAGTTTCAGAGTCATTGTCATCTTGCAGCTCTGCTTAATCCCCACTTTACCCCCTTAAGTGTTCCCAATCTCTGCAAACAATTAAGAATAATTTACTCTCAGACTTGATTCAAGCCATATTGATATTTCCCTCGCTCTCCTGTGGATGAATGGAAAGAGGAAAAAACACAGGCTCAAAGGTTGTAAACATGAAGAGGATCTGGTTGAGAGATAATTGCAGCAATTTCCATGATTCATTCATAGCGAAGCATGCCGATAAGGTCCGTGAACTCTGCAGCACGATGACGACACGCGGGGCTGCAGAGGAAAGCTGAGGTTTGAATGAATCACGAGCAGAAAGTCCCTACAGTGAGAAGTAAACAGAGGAGAAACCAAAAAGGGGGTAAAAAGACCCAGTTCTTGACTGAGGCAGGCTTTTCCAGTAGCCATGGTTTCACTTTTCTTTCCCCACAACTCTTTGAAGCTCTAATCTCCAGAGTCGCTTTAGGTCGCCTGCTACTGCTGCAGTTTAGGTGAATCAAACAGCCGTCTGACCACGAAAAGACAAACCTGCTTCTGATGACGAGTGAGGACAGAGTGGGCACAGACGAACGCAGAAATGAGAAGAGAGAACAAGCCAAACTCCTCTGAACACTCCAGATGAGTGTTTAAAGTCAT